TGAATTAAAACAAATCTGCAAAGAAGAGTGAGCCAAAATTCCTCCACAGCAACGTGAAAGACTCATTGCCAGTTATCGCAAATGCTTGATTGCAGTTGTTGCTGCAAAGGGTGGGACAACCAGACCTTAGTCTTTTCATGCTCGAAAACCCTCCAATGTGGCTGAATTAAAACAATTCTGCAAAGAAGAGTGGGCCAAAATTCATCCACAGCGATGTGAGAGACTCATTGCCAATTATCGCAAACGCTTGATTGCAGTTGTTGCTGCCAAGGGTGGCACAACCAGTTATTAGGTTTAGGGGGCAATTACTTTTTCACAAAGGGCCAGGCAGGTTTGGGCAGCTTTTTTCCCTTAATAAAAGAAATCATTATTTCAAAAATGCATTTTGTATTTACTCGGGTTATCTTTGTGTAATATTACATTTTTCTTTTTTGATGATCTGAATCATTCAAGTGTGACAAATATGCAAAAAATTAAAAGAACAGGAAGGGGGCAAAAAAGTCCCCTTGTCCCTTTAAAATTTTAAAAAGTCTTAAAATGTCTTGAATAAAGTTTTCCTAAAATAAGACCTTCAAAAGTCTTAAAATGTCTTAAATTCAGATTCAGTAGGTCTTAAATATTTTTGGTCACATTACCACAAAAATTTCCAGGCAGGTTTGGACAGCTTTTTTCCCTTAATAAAAGAAATCATTATTTCAAAAATGCATTTTGTATTTACTCGGGTTATCTTTGTGTAATATTACATTTTTCTTTTTTGATGATCTGAATCATTCAAGTGTGACAAATATGCAAAAAATTAAAAGAACAGGAAGGGGGCAAAAAAGTCCCCTTGTCCCTTTAAAATTTTAAAAAGTCTTAAAATGTCTTGAATAAAGTTTTCCTAAAATAAGACCTTCAAAAGTCTTAAAATGTCTTAAATTCAGATTCAGTAGGTCTTAAATATTTTTGGTCACATTACCACAAAAATTTCTCCAGTCTAACGGACTCAGTGAGTGTCTATCAAGAGAACTCCCCCGGCTGTACGGAATATTTTGTATATTGTCTGCTGATATGAAAAGTTCACTGTATATCGTAATAACAAATATAATTTTTGACAGCGATGATATTTTGTTTTCTTTGTACATTTAAACGCGTTAAATATTACATATATGTATATGTAATATAATGTGTATTTCCATCACAGGCTTGGTCTTAAATTTCACATAAGGTGGTATTAAAAAGATCTTAAAAAGTCTTAAATTTAACTTGTTCATATCTGTAGACACCCTGGTAATGGGATATGTTCTCTTTTGTTATTTGATTAACATGAATGACAGACAGCAGGATTATTAGACTGCTGTCACTTTAAGAGCTGCCTGGATCCAATATAATGTTACACATGTTTTCTTTCTTAGCTTTTTGCGTTCACTTAAGATCTTAAACACTGTGTTTACAAGGATACTTGTAAACATACAAGTGTGTGTATTTAACTGTTCAAGGCCTATAATGTGGCAAAAATCTCTGTCTCTCTGATAGCACATGCATATAGAAAAGAGTTTTCTTTTGCTTCTGATTGCATTTTAATGGCCTAAGATCACTTGTTTTTAAACCGTAATCCTTAAAAATGTGTGGAAATGATACGGTTTTTTTTGACAGCGTAGCACAGCAGCGTCATGTGAGCATGTATGTAACCGCAATAGAGATAATAGTCCAAAATCTCTGCCGGTTGACAAATGTTTACCGGTTAATCACGTCTAGCAGTATATCGCCCACCATCATTTTCAGAACTTTTTCTTCCCAAGATTCCCAAATCAAATCACTTTTATGAGCCCTTTTTTGTCATGTAGTTCAAAAAGTCAGGTTTGTATCAGTCGAAAACACTGACCCTAATTATTAACAGTGTTAGCAGAGAGAATCTATTTCACACATAAGCGCATTATACCTAAATACATCCAAATCAAATAGAAGCAAGAGCCTGTGATTCATCATTGAAATCAATCAAATCTTAGCAACGTTGAGCTGTGAACCGCTGCAACCGAGTAAGCTGAACTTGAGAAATGGGTCCTATACGTGAATGATCGGTTTTGTCAATCCATCTTAAGTGAATAATTTATGAAATGGACAGAAGAAATAAAGTCAGACAGGTTTGGAATGACATGAGTGTGAGTAAATGATGACAAAATGTTCATTTTTGGCTGAACTGTCCCTTTTGTGGTCTCAACCACAGGAAAATTCTGGATGAGAAGAGTACAACTGAGCTGAAGAAAGTTATGCCGGGCACTGGAGCAGAACCCAACACCCTCACGCAAACAAACGCCACTGAAAGTAAAGCATGAGAAGACGAGTAGAGGAGTAAAAGCATTGTGGTGACCATGGACGAACGTGTTTGTTTAACAGTGCCCTTGATGAATTTTCTGAACAAAACGGTGTATCTACAGACAGAAGTTTCACTTATAATGTATGTCTGCATTTTCCGTTTATTTTTGTTGATTTGAGCAAGTTTCTGTATCAGAGTTACAAATTCATATAATTCAAAGATATTCTTATAGAGCTTCTTGTGTTTCTTTGTACATTTTTTTCTCCATCAAAAGGATCATTATTATAGCAGGGCATCAAGTTATTCAGGAGAATGATTTATTCAGTAATACATGAACGATTTATTTGCAAAGTACATTGTTAAAATTTACATGATTTCTCCTATTTTTTTTATCTTGAGTGTTTGAGGGCTAGGTTCGATTTGTTGTTAGTTTTGTATTTTATCCTATTTTATTTACACTTAACTGTTTTGCCTGTTGGATGATAACTTGTAATGGCAGTTATGTAAAGACAAAAAATATCGTAAGATATTTTAACATACTGTTATATGACCGAGAGTCTGATAAAGATTTCAAACAAGCCATTTGATTCACTACTGAAGTCTTTATTGGATCAGTTTTTACAATTATCGTGTGTTTCTAATATTTGGGATTTATACATTAAATCATTCTTCCGACATGCTCCTAAAGCATCGACTTAAACTAAAATATCTGCTCATTTTTATACCTTGTACCTCTGGAGAAATGTTTCACACTGTCACCTGTAAGCTTATGCACTGTGATTGTGTTATCTTTGTCGTCTTTTTTTTCTTCAAGAAAATTTGCATAGCTTTGCAGCAACCGCTGATTGTCCTTTTATAACATGAGGTATGTTAACAGTCCTGTATGAAACTGGACTGATAGGACACGTGACTCTGAGAAGAGTTCTTATATCATCACTCATTGCATGACTGTCTGCTTGCCCATGTCTGATGTTAAACAAGACTGGCCTGAACTGTACGACCTCAGTTTATGGCAGTCTGGTGGAGAAATAGTGAAGATTGTCGGTTCTGGGTGTTTTCATGATTTCAATGCTTTCTATAATGTTTCGGAGAGAATGAAAGATAATTTTGTTTGCCCATTGTACACAAGTTGTTCAGTTGTTCACTGCCAGTTTGCCCAAAAACTGTAAGTCGTTTCATGTATATGGGGATTTGACCCATAAAATAGCAGTATAATGGGTGAGCTTTATAATGATAAGCAAAGAACATGTTGTACATTGTGTTGTTCTTACGCATTTTAATTAAACTCATGAAAACATGAAAGATTCTCTTAGTTTGTTGTGTTTGTGCAATATCATGCTTAGATAATCTGACCTAAAAGTAAATATATTAACTCCTCTACATGTTTTTATTTGGTAGGTTTGTAAAGGTCAACATTATGTTGTTTTAAAAATGCCTTCAGATTAACACTCGCTTTCATTTTAAGCATTACAAACAAATGTAAGTATGTTTATCTGTTTCCACCAATATGGTAGCCAGGATACTCTCCAAAATAATAGCCTCTATGGTTATTGTTGCTACAATGGTGACTTGTTATTGGCCAACGCTGTCATCAAAAATGAAATTAAAATGGCAGAAAGGTTCTGAGGAATCTCTTTGGAAGAGACGTGGTAGTGGAAAATGGGTTACTTATTAATATTTTTTTAAGTGTCATTCTGGAGTACATGTATAATGTATGCATTGTATCCTGATTAAAATTCCAAACCAGACAGAAAGGAGAAAGTACTTACTTATCAATAATTTAACTTGGCCAGCAGGTGGCACTATTTCATAAGCCTCAAATGTTAGTTGACGAGGTCACAACGTGACTGCACGTGCTTTCATATAAACATACTTAACACTAACATGTATTATTTGGCTATTTTTATTTATTTATGTAAATTAGTAGTTCAAGGGAAAATCCTGGTGAGCACAAAATATATTTTGAAGAATCTTGGTAACAGTTGATGGCAGCCACTGACTAATACGTTTTTTCCACACGATGGAAGTCAATGGCTACCGTCAACTGTTTGGTTACCAACATTCTTCAGAATATCTTTTGTCCTCAACAGAAAAAAAAAAAAAATCTCTTACAGGTGTGGAATAACTTGAGGGTGAGTAAATGACAACAGAATTTTAGGGTTGGGGTTAACTATCCATTTAAGGTTACACCACTTGGCATTTTGTCATTAAATACTTTTTTAACATGAATATTTTCAAAAATGTATGAATAAAACATGAATATAAATATTACACTGCACTGAGAACAACTTTTTATTATCTCGAACATGTCCTTGACCCATGTAGCGACTGCATTAAAATGCAATGAAACGATTTCATCCGTCATCCGTATTTGTAACTCTTTCTGCAAAACCTGAAAACAACATACTGTAATGATGAGTGGCAATAGGTGGCAATATTAAGTAGACAAGAAAATACAGCGGCTCTCTGATGTTCTCAGGGTTATCTTTCACTGTTAGTGTACGTTTAGGAAATGAAGCAGCATGTCTCCAGATAAGACGACTGTGGGAGATGAGGTAAGACTCATTGGCACGGTGCTTTTGTGTGTGGTTTTATTCTCATTCATTCTTCCCCCCCTTCATTCATGGACAAGCTAAGCTCTTTTAATGCAGTCATGCTCTTTAAAGTTAAACATACTCTGAGGAAAGTGTAAGTTGACTGCATGCCGGGCTGTATTTTTCTCTGTAAGTTGGTCTTAATACTTTAATTTTCAGTCTTATGTAAATGACTATTAGGAGTTTTGGTTTAATTCCAGTAATAGAACACCACAGTACTGTTTACCTCACCAGCTCCATCCTAAAAGCACTAACGATCATAGGGTTCGTGCGCGCGGCGCCTCAGTGAAAACAGCGAGCCATTGCTTTGACGTCACGGTGATGATGACGATTGGAATCCGCACGGCGAGTGTAGTGCGCGTGAAGCGGCTCCTGTGAACCTCAGTATGTTGATGCCTTAATAACAAGTGTTCAATTTACGCGCCAGTTGCAGGTAAGTGAAAATAACTTCACCGGTTAAACGTTAATTGTTCTTCCAGATGCTGAAACTGGCAAGATAAATGCTTATTAGTTGGTGAAAGTGCTGCGAGAATGAGTTAATTTTGCGTTGAGGATGCAACTTGTTTTTTGTCTTTAAAGATACAGCCCACGCCTATAAGTGTTCACGGATCCTGCATGCTCATTTATGCTTTCGGGACACGTAGACTTGAAGTGTTATGAAAATGGTTACGTTTATAAACTAACTGCTGTGGATGTTGCTTAAAAAAACTTGTCAATCAGGTGCATTTGTAGTAAAGACTGTTGCACGGAGGAAACATGACTGTCTGTTGCTTATCTGTTGCTTATTCTGTCATATTTAGCAAGCGTAATATAGTCGTAAATTTAATATGGAAAGGTCGATAGATAGATAGATATGTGGTTCCAATAAACTAACTCACGGTTTCGGGTTATTTGTGTGATTTGAAGGCTGAAAGGTTATGAGTGTTCAACCTTTTCAGGTTTGTCATGAAGGACAAGGTGCATCCGTACCTTTTTTTTCTTAAATGAAGTGTTTACCAACGGAGGCTTTTTAAGACAAATTCTGATGCCTCTTGTCTGAAATGCATTTCACTCACGCGCAAAATAAATAAATAAATAAACAAAATATAATCTCGCGGTCTGACATAAAAGCAGAATGCAGTTTTTTTTTCAGGAATTGATACTTTTTATTAGATGTTTATATATTTTTCACTTTAATTATTGACGGTCTGTTCTGTCAAAATAATACAACAACAATAATAATACATATTAATAAATGAAAATACAACAGACAGACCCATAATCAGTTTGACAGATATTGTTTTACCCATATTCACACTGTTCTACTTAATCAGTTATTGATCAGGGCTAGAGTTAAATGGCACCATTTTTTTGAGTCCAAAGTAGAAAACTGTGAATATGGATTAATCATTTTGTATTAATATTCAGAGGTACAAAAATAAAAATTATAAATAATTTCATGCTTTTTACAAAACCATTTGTGCTTCGCCAAGATTTTACAAAATGCTTATAATACTAGTTAAACTATCGTTATTAGTTGTCATTGTGACAGAAAAAAATGTGAATTGTTATTGAACAGTTAAACATAAAAATCTGTGTTGGTATTAGCTGATCTGTAAATAATATATAACTGTTTTTAGACAATTGGTGTTATCATATTTTTTAGAGTGCAGCTGTACGTGTCATAACAGATTAAAATGTCACTCCTGGGGTGAGTTTTTATTCTTCTCTTCTGTAGGAATGTTCCAGAGTGTTAATACAAAATTAAATGTACAGTTAAAACAAATGATGTTTCTTGCCTGAAGAACAATATCAGAAAAGCAAGTTCCTCTCAAGCATGTGCCGAATGCCGTCGATTCAGTTTCACCTGGCAGCTTTCCACTACTATCGCTGCGATTGCATAACATTAAGTACATGTTGTGACGATTGTCTTGTGCCTTTGTACAGATTCAACAACTACAACACCCCTTCGACTTTTCCTCAAAGCACTGTGTTAACTTGTTTGAGTGATGATTAACATGACCTGTGTAACAGAGATGAATGAACATTGCACATTTGACGGAGTGTATTTTGTACTCATTCTTGTTTTTGTGACATGACTGAATGACATTTACAGGAGCACTCAAGGAGAGAAGCAAGTCCGTGAGATGGTTCGGTAGATGTCGATGTAATGGATTTGACTAAAATGGGTGCGATCCACCTCCAGAACCCCAGCCATCCCACATCGCTCCTGCAGAAGGCCAACCAGATGCGCCTCTCTGGGACATTGTGTGATGTGGTCATCATGGTCGACAGCCAGGAGTTTCATGCCCACAGAACCGTGCTCGCATGTGCTAGTAAGATGTTTGAGATCCTGTTCCACCGCAACAGCCAACATTACACTCTGGACTTCCTCTCACCAAAGACCTTCCAGCAGATTCTGGAGTACGCCTACACCGCCACGCTTCAAGCCAAGCTGGAGGACCTGGACGACCTGCTCTATGCCGCAGAGATTTTAGAGATAGAATACTTGGAGGAGCAATGTCTGAAGATCTTGGAAACCATTCAGGCGTCTGAAGAGAACGACACGGACGTGAACATGAACGAGAACGGCGCCGAGGATGCCGATGACCGCAAGATCAAGTACCTTAAGAGCACATTTATCTCTAAAAAGCATTCCATACAGGATGCCGGCCATCGCTTGGCGCTGGTCAGCATGGTCGATAAGAGATCTTCAGAGTCCATCCAACTGGGTCTTTCAACTGTCAGCCCGACTAAAGCAGCCGTAGAGGGCCTGATGAGCATGGGGCAGTCTGTCCTCCAAGGAAACATGGCCCAGAGTTTCTCAAACAACCTTGGTAACTCATCTCCATTGCTAGATAAAATCAAGACTGAGATGATGCAGGTAGATGAGGACTACCAACATGATGGTGGCTTCCCCAGGAACGACTCCAGGCAGCTCCGGGACACTCCTGGAACCCCGACCAGAGGTAGCGTCATCACCAGCGCCCGCGAGCTCCACTCTGCCGATAGTTCTGCTGATTCCCATGGAGACAGCAGCCAAGTGGGTCTAGTCAATATGGCCAGTCTGGCTGATAGACATTTCGCTTCGCTGTGCTCTATCCCGTCCAACCATAAGAGTGAAAGCATGCTGCCCTTGCCTGTGTCCATGGCCTCATCGCTACATGTGCCGTCCTCCCTGGCCATGTCGATGGATTTCAGTGCCTATGGGGGACTCTTCCATCAGAGCTTGATTCAGAAGGAGTTCTTAAGCAAGCTTGGGGATTTCACAGCGAATGTAAAGCATGAGGTCCAAACCCAGAAAGAAAGATGTGAGGTGTGTGATATGGAGCTGCCTGATAATGAAGCTGCTGAACAACACAGGTGAGTGAAGTTATTTGGGGCTTTCCTGATGGTTTATATATTTATATAAAGAATAGAATCCCAAAATTAAAATTCTTTCATCATTTATTCACCTGTATAACTTTTTGTTCTGTGGACCACAAAAAGAGAAATTTACTAATGTCCATGCTGCTCTTTTCCATATAATCAAATTGAATGATGACCAAAGGAAATGGTGAAAAGCAAAATAAAAGTGTTCCATACCACTTTTGAAAATGCACATATGCACATTGTGTGCATCACAATCAATCACAAGGTAATTAGGACCAGTGGCATTTGGCATCATTGACGAATATGTGCAATTGATCAATATTTTAGTCTTTTCCTTTTGTATAGTTTCAGAAGACTTTAAATATAGTACAGGAATCGTCTTAGGGGCCATCTATACAGAATGCGTTTTTGCATTGAAAAATTTTTTTGAAACAAAAAAAACAAGATATCAAAGACACAATTTTTAAAATTTGAGCTTAGTTTGACTTAAGCATTAGAATGTGTGTCATGCCCGAGACACTGAAAAAGGTGTGAGAATCGAGCACAATTGTGAAAGACATTCATCTAGCAAGCATGTTTTTGAGTTGAAAAATGTGAGATGCAAGCAGTGAAATGGGAAAAAATGCACTTGACTGCACAAAATGCACAAAAAAAAGTGAACTAACTTGACTGCTGTGCATTGTAAAATGCCATGTCAAATGCAAAACGTTGCCAACAATGCAATCGCAGCAGTAAAAGATGTCCGCTAAGTACAAGTTTACATAAAAGAATAGAAAAGTAGTGCAATGGGAGGCAAAAATGCATTCTGTGTGAGCAATCACTTAATGTAGTCACTCAAATACTCAAATGCCTTTGTGTTCTTCAAAATAAAGTCATATGGGTTTACTGTAAAATAAAATGAGGTTGAATACATTATGACAGAATTTTCCTTTTTGGGTGAACTTTCTCTTTAATGTACTTCCTCAGGCTTGTTGAGAGCAGTGCTGAGCAGGTTAGAAACATCTGCCAGCTCTACACACCAAGCCTTTATTTGGTTTGTGGAAGGACAAGGTCTTCCTGTGCAGAAAAGAAGGGCTGCTTAGTGCAGCTTGACCCTGACCTTCCCTCCATAACCTCTGGCTTGACACTGTCAAAGTGATCAGCCAGCAGCAGCTTTGCATTTTTTGTTTTTGCACAGAATGTCCTCTCACTTTCACTTGGTGGACACCCAACTGGTGTCATGCCATATGTCAAAATAAAATATTTATTGCTGTAGTTGACATATGAAATCCATTTTTTTTCGCCAACCAAAGGCCATCATTATTTCAGTTTTATTGGTTTGGGCTTGACTGATGGCCATGCAGTTTAAACTTGGGACTCTCAAACAGTAGGTTGAGCTTTATCTGTATTTATCAGAGTGGAAGATAACCCCGCACCGCTCTCCTTAGTCTCTGTGGTGAAGATGGTCTGATAGTGACTTTAGCCTTCTGTCAGACACAGATAAAGTGGCCACACGTTGTGTGTATTGCGGCACACCTGATACTCTTTCATTCATTCCCACAAATGCTGAACCCAGTGACACCGACCCGGGTTTCTTGTCTGAGGCCTGACGAACACATCCTATCAGATGTTCTCTGTTCCAGTGTGGCACTAAACACACGATGCTTCTTTTTTGTTCAGATCCATTAATCAATGTGTAAGCCGTTAAAAATTACATTTGTATACAATGATTTTGATACACATCTTTTACTGTGAACACTTTACATAAATAAAATAGTGAATAGTAGTAAAAATTGTAGTTTGGCATAATATTTTATTATTATTTCTTACAGTAACATTTAAAAAAATATATTTTACCGTTTATTAAAATGTGAAAACATTTTGTTGGTAACAAAGTTGAGATGACTGTACAGTAACCACACATCCAGACAGTAGGTCAGTAGGTTAGCCAGTCACTTGGGACAAGTATATTTGTTCATAAACTCAGCTTGCCCTTTTCTGGTTTGTGAACAGTGACAGATGTTAAGATCCGCCGACATCTGACTTGCACACAGTATGTTATGAAAGCCCTGGGGCCCCATGGGGTCACTGTGGTCATGGTGAGGCGACCCAATACCAATAACAGTTAAACTTTTGCCCCAGTGGCGAGAGGCCCTCAAAGTTGTGAATCTTAACCCAAATGCTCCCGCCACAGCATTCCCAGTCCTCTGGAATTACTTTAAGCACAAGCATCCGTTTGAAATAAATGCAATAGCATTGGACGTCACAACAGTCATGCAACAAACACACTCTCCTTTGGATTAAGACCTCTGCGAACCGTTGTGCTTGGTCTCGGTCCTTTCATGCATGTCATTTCTGCCCCATGGTCGAGCCGAGGAATGTGCTGCTTTCCACTGAGTGGATTTAATCTGCCGCTGATGTGTACTCACAATCCACCGCGGGCGGCAGGGAGACGACTGATGCGTGCAGGGGCTCTGGGGACGCAGATCAGCTCTTCTGCTTAGGAATCCCTGGAAGTGGGAGATCCTAGAGCACTACTCGCATTGGCCCGCTGCTCACGGCTCTAATTAGATCTTTTGTTATAGAGCAAACAGAGAGAGATTGAGAGACAGAGAGAGGTCAAGAAAGACAGAGGAAATAGGGCTAATAGAGCTACTTCCTGTAGCTTGCAAAGCTACAGTCATGGCCAAAAATATCGGCACCCTTGGTAAATATGATCAAAGAAGGCTGTGAAAATTAATCTGCATTGTTAATCCTTTTGATCTTTTATTTAAAAAATTCACAAAAATCTAACCTTTCATTGGATAATAAGAATTTAAAATGGGGGGAAATATCATTATGAAATAAATGTTTTTCTCAAATACACATTGGACACAATTATTGGCACCCCTAGAAATTCTTATGAGTAAAATATCTCTGAAGTATATTCCCATTCATAGTCACAATTTTGAGCACTCCAAGGTGATTATGAACATGAAATTATCCAGCCATGGCTTCCTGTTTCACAGAAATATAAATAGGAGGGAAAACAAAGCCCAAATTCCCTTAATCATCCATCACAATGAGAAAAACCAAAGAATATGATGTTGTGGGCCTATATTTCTGCTGGAGGTCCTGGACATCTTGTTTAGACACATGGCATCATGGATTCTATCAAATACCAACAGATAAAAAATCAATAAGTGACTGACTGTTAGAAATCGTATAATGGGCCATGTTTGGATCTTCCAACCAACCATACAATAATCCAAACACAAACCTCAAAAACAACACAAAAATGGGTCACTGAGCACAAAACCAAGCTTCTGCTATGGCCATTCCAGTTCCCTGACCTGAACCCTATAGAAAATGAGTGTGGTGAACTGAAGAGAAGAAGCACCATCATGGAGCTGGTAATCTAAAGGGTCTGGAGAGATTCTGGATGAAGGAATGGTCTCTGATCTCTTGGCAGGTGTTCTCTAATCAGGCATTATATGAGAAAATTTAGAGCTGTTAAAATGGCAAATGGAGGTTTCAAAAAGTATTGAATAAAAGGGTGCCGTTAATTGTGGCCAATGTGTATTAGAGAAAAACATTTATTTCATAATGATATTTCCCCCCATTTTAAATTCTTATTATCCAATGAAAGGTTCGATTTTTGTGAATTTTTTTAATAAAAGATCAAAAGGATTAACAATGCAGATTAATTTTCACAGCCTTCTTTGATCATATTTACCAAGGGTGCCGATATTTTTGGCCATGACTGTATATAAAATTACTTCACTGTATGGAAAAGTTTTTAGGATCATCACTCCAGTCTTCAGTGTCACACAATTCTTCAGAAATCACTCTAATATGCTGATTTCTTATTATTGATGTTGAAGACAGTTGTGCTGCTTAATATTTTGTGTAAACCATACCATTCAAAAGTTTGGGGTAAGATAAAAAAAATATATACTTTTTTGATCAAAAGTGAGAGTAAAAGCATCTGTAATGTTGCAAAAGATTTCAACTTCAATTAAATGCTGTTACTTTGATCTTTCTATAGACCTAAGTCAGGTTAGTGCCATGTTTAATTTCTGACAGGAATGAAAGGGAGGCTGTGAGGGATAGAAGTACAGTGCGTTCAATGGACTGTGCTGTTGCTTCACAACATACTGATTGTTCAGCTTATTTTCAGCAGACAAAAAAGGTGTGATCTAGGAGCTTTATACAGTGTGTTCCATTTTTGAGACTGTAAGTCTATCCCTCACAGCCTTGTTTCATTATATTAAACATAGCGTCTAACCTGACAAAAAAAAAATTGTATCACAGTTTCCACAGAAATATTAAGCAGCACAACTGTTTTCAACACTGATAATAATAAGAAAAGTTTCTTGAGCAGCAAGTCAGCATATTAGAATGATTTCTGAAGGTTCATGTGACACTGAAGACTGGAGCAATGCTGCTGAAAATTTAGCTTTGCTATCATGGGATTAATAAAAAAAAAACGTATTTTAAATTGTAAAAAATTCACAATTTTTACTGTGATTTTGATCAAATAAAATGAGTGAGCAAATTAATGAGCCTTGGTGAGCATACTAAACTCCTTTCAAAAACTTCCAACCCCAAACTTTTGAATGATAGTGTATACATAAAGCACTTCAATAGCAAAGAGACTGAAGCACAGATATAATGAGTGTCTTTCACACACCGGGCTTCAGAGCTCATCTATTGTCTTCTCAACTGTTGCTTCAGGAGATCTTTTGTTTACTCAGCCTCTTCCTTTATCCTCTGGTTAACTACAACAGCAGCCCTAACTACATACCAGTAGTCTCCTGGGAGGACACTGTATATGCCCCTTCTGGACAGGAAGTTTGGAAGACCTGATTGGGATTATTGCAGATAATGTCATCTATGTTGAGATCTGAGCTTCTAATAATAACAAACAATAAGAAGTGAAAAATTATTTTTATCTGATCTGACCCTTAACAATGAGTTTTTTTGGAGTTACCTAATAGTTTCAGTCAGTCATGTTCATTACATTTTATGTA